GCGCGGTTATTTTGATCAATAAAACCACCTGTACGGCCCATTATATGCAATAGGACTATGCGACCGATCCTTCCAACGCGAATAGTATGGTGGTGGTCCTAAAAGCATAATATTGGTTTATATCACGCGGGGATCCAATTACAAAATTGCCAGGTCTTTGAGCTTATCAACTTACGTTCATTCGCTCTGGCGTATCCTCAAATCATTTTTTGAAAGTCTTCGCTGTACTGGTACCACAATAAAAATTGACCATACTTACAGATATGAATAGCAGCCGTGTCACAGTGGCTCCGCTTGATTTTAGCATGGCTAGTGCTGGCCGCCTGTAGGAGGCTCGTGAATAAGTGTCGAGCGCCAGTTGTGGTTTTCTGACTTTACACTAACGACCCAACCAAGTAAGCCCCTGGATGTGTAGCCTGACCAATATGTTCTAGAGATCAAACATCGAAGTCGCATTTTGACCAGGGCATCCGGATGGGGACTTGTATGCTGCTAAAATCCTCTCTTCATTTCCGTTCATATACCAAAAAAATCAGAAAAGGGCACTATCATTGTGATGGTTCTTCTCCTTCTCAGGAAGCAAATAAAGATGAATGAACTTGACTGACACGGCAAAATTCTTGGGAAGCGGTAAGCTGCAACCAACCATATTGTGTGTACTACCTTTACCATAATGATGCTACTTTACCGAGGAGGCGTTTGATCGAGGAACGAAATCGTAGACCTTGAGAAAACCAATTGAGAACGTGTATCAAGCGTGTAGGCTGGTCCCCCAATTCTGGCTGATACTCACCTCAAAAGTGATATCACCATTCTTCGTATCCTAGTTCTCAACCCCCCTTAAGCTCATATCGGGCCACTGATCTCGACGTCGCAGCAGTTACATGAGCTTGAATTGGGGATTCGCATTTTGTTTGACTTGCGGGACTTCCTGTTCCGCACCGGAAATATCGCCTCCAAGAAATCTGTAGCCGGAAGGTCAAATCCCAGAAACGATGAAAATGTGGCGCCGGCAATTCTTATTCTACTCGTGATAAGGCATGCAATGAAGTTCAAGGGATATTGAGAAAGCTCCGAATGACACGAGGAAGTAAACTGTCAGCGCACATAGTCGGTATGCCGTCGAAGTCGTGTCATATATATTTTTGGGTCTTGAAGCTCGGCTTGAAGTTGTACTGAATGTTCTAGAATTAGGTGGGTTTGCGTCGTCTGAGTTTGCATCGTCACACATCATCGAAAGGCTCAACCCACAGGCTACAGTGTCTGTTTCCCACCATTCGGGATAATTTGAGGCCTAGTGCTAAGCTTGCCATCGTCTCTTCAGAGATTGATACATGATTGAGATTTACTGCACAGTACTTACTGAGCTTCTGACTGGGCTCCTTGGAATCTGGGGTTCATCGCTAACCATTTTAATTTAGAATGCATAGCAGTTTGCGTAGCTGCTGCCAAATATATCCCCTAATCTGTATTATAGACCGATTAAAGATGACATCGGACGCCGAAGAAAGAGGTACCTAAGCCGTTAATACACATCTTAGGATTGTAGACGTCACTGTAAGAAAATTAAATTTGGGACTGTTCTTAGACATTTTTGGTCTCTTATCGAATGCCATTCAACCGGAAAAACAGGAAGTTTGTGGGCCGTAAAATTTTAAAGTATCTCGGGAACACATTGTCCCATGTTCAAAAGTTCAGGCACGTACCTGCACGTACCTGTAACTACCGAGATGTATTAAGGATTGTGATGAAAACTCGTGAAAATTTGACGAACTTTGTGAGGAAAACTTGATGTTTATTCTTGACCAGGCACCATTTCTTTGATTGTTAGAACTGATAAATATGCGAGATTCCGTTGGTGTGAGAGCAGTATCAATTTACGCCCTCTCTCTCCTCCCCTCACCTCCGTTCTTAACATCGTTGCCGCTATGCGTGTTCCCTCCGTTCTAGCTGGTACTATGGTTCTTCTTTCAATGCTAGTTGCGCATTCCCAAGCGGCGCCGATCGAGGTCTGTTGAGATACTCGTCGCTTACGAAAATATGTTCTTACTTTGTTCAATGAACAGTCACTCGATATAGCTGAGCGTTCTGGAACCGGTGAAAGTAGCGCCGCAGATTGGCGTAGATCAGGGACAGGTGAAAGCAGCGCCGCTGATTGGAGACGTTCGGGGACTGGTGAGAGTAGCGCTGCGGACTGGCGTAGGTCGGGAACTGGAGAAAGCAGTGCTGCTGATTGGAAACGCTCGGGGACCGGTGAAAGCAGTGCCGCTGACTGGAAACGTTCAGGAACTGGAGAAAGTAGTGCCGCCGACTGGCGGAGGTCAGGAACCGGCGAAAGTAGTGCCGCTGACTGGCGAAGGTCGGGAACCGGAGAAAGCAGTGCAGCTGACTGGAGACGCTCGGGCACCGGTGAAAGCAGTGCAGCTGACTGGAGACGCTCGGGCACCGGTGAAAGCAGCGCAGCCGACTGGCGGCGGACTGAGGACTCAGAGGAGGACAACGCGTGATTAACTCTCTCATATGACGTGCCGCATCCGGTAGTCAGTCCATCCCCCAAGTCCGCTTCCTCTCAACTTTTGCTCTCGAAACATTATCATTTGGCATATCTCGCCATACTCTCGCTCCCTTTATTCGTTCGTGGACCCTGTCACATAAATCAGCGTTACCGAATACTGTACACTGCCCCACACTCCTTCTCGGTTCCACTAGTTTCTTCTCTCTCGTCAGCAAGCTCGAACTCAGCTATCAGTCCAATACCATAAACTCATAGGTCACCATCCACAACCTTCCACCATTGGATGGTCCCTCCCGAGGTCATCGCTGTTTCAAGTATTTCCCGGAACTTTTCTTGATGGTTGATGTCTGCTATATCTATCTCCTTCGGTTTTGGGTCCCCCGGTTGAAGTCCGTTTCCCTCTCGTTTTCCTCTGTAGATTTCTTCCAGTGTGTCAATGTCTGTGAACTTTTGTTATATTACCATTTTTTCGTCTTGCACATCGTGTTTGCTAGTATACGGATAGAACCTCTAACTATTAAACCTTTGACAGTCTGTTGACCTATCAAATTTGTTTCTGAGCTCCTGCATACGACACCCTGTTCTGAATAACTTCTATTTCAGGCGAGCTCTTCGGTATAATCACTGGTAAGCGCTTCGACCGTGAGTCTTAGCCGACATTAAAAGAGATAAACGGTTTGTCACTCTCGATTAGCGACATTAATTACAAACCCAAGTACAGTATTATTTTATACCGTTACATTTCACGTAGACGTCAAGCTTCAAAATTAAAACGGCCTCATATTTGAGACCAACTTCATGTCCTGTCGGTATAATTTTCACTCGTGCAGGAATTCTCCTCCAATTGGTCTATCGGCATTCCGTTTAATTCGTACGATCACTGAAAAACTCCGAGGTAACAGCTCGATCACGACTGTTCCTCTTCTTCGTCAGTCAAGTGTACACTGTACTTAACGATTGGCAACTATTGTTATGACTGCCGGTGCCAGGAACGGCATTTCTTACAGTCGCAATGGTGCTGGGTATTCTGGGGTATGGCATACTGCTATAATTACTTGCCCTACAGTGATCACAAGGCGTCCGAGCTTCCATTAACAGGTCCATGCTTTTTTAAACTTAAAATCAACAAAGATGGAAGATGATTGGTGATTCTATGATCATTCCTCGAAGTCGAAGTTTATGGTACCCATACAACCCATATACTTGGCCGTATAGAGGGCACTACTGTTATTTTGCAAGTTATTCCTAAAATCTGACTGTGGTGAGTCGCAGGGTCGGTATGTCGGGGCTCTCGGGAACAGCTGTTCCTCGACTGTTCCTGGTTGCGAGTTTGTCGCATGTAGCATTTAAATCTATGTTGCCCCCTGTTGCCCCCTGTCTTTCTGCATAAGTTTCCGGCGCTAGTGTGTGTTACCGACGCCTCGGGCGTGCTAGCCACTCTGAACATTCGATACCAGCCTCTAGGAGGACAGCCATACGAACTCCGACATTAACAGTAAGTAAGTAATAAGTATCTATATATATGAGCGGAGAGATGGCTAGGGTCCGGGGAGGGGGATCGAACGTAGGTTAGAGGCTTGCTCCCACTACGGTATGATGTAACTTGAAGCTACAGAGCTCCGAGCTCCATGGCTCAAAGAAGAATTCTGATTCTGAGTTTTTGAAACCCCATCTGTGGAAGAGGCACAAAAAAAGGTCCCAATGAAGGGGGATCGAAAGCCTTGACAACATTCTCAACAACAAACAGATACTGGAGATGCCTTGTATATGTTTCTGTCTTACCAAAATCCAAGAGCTTGTGGGGGAGGTTGTCCGAACTCGTGTTCAGTTTAATCTTCCCACGCTTACTGCAGCTCAAAAATGCAAGTAAAGACGGCTCTTGAATTATCCACCCACTCTCCCACTGGTGAGACCCTGCCAATATTCCCCGGTGTCTTTAAAGCCTCATTCGACTTCACCCAAAACCAGGGCCAAGTACATATTTTTCTGAAGTTCAGCTTCCCGTCTATGGCGGGTCTTTCAGCGTCTGAACATACACTTGGCTTTTAACACCCCAACCTGGTACCTCTTTTGTTCGGACTCACACCCGAATGAGCAGTATACTACCAACCGGCCCCAAGGGTCGAACGCAAGGCAGTGGTTTGCTTTTATGATGTACCTTGAAGCTGTAGGACTTCAGGATCCAAATGAGGAATTCGATTCTCAAAAGAGACGCCAAATACAGTGGATGAAGGTACAAGGTACCAGTGCGTCCTCACGGCCTCATGTACTAAGATCAAGTTCCTTATTTGTTCAATAAGGGAGGTTCCTAAACAGTTGAGCGATGTCCGTACGAAAATCAGTCTAAGTATTGGTACTAAGTGGGTCCGTGCAAAAAATCGATTCGTTAATACGACTGTCTGAATAAAAATAGAACTGGTTATCAATATACTAGTTTCAACGCAAGTTTCAACGCAAAAAAAAACAAATCTTACAAGTGCATGCATGGCCAACGTGGGGATCGAACCCAAGACCTTCGCGTGGGAAGCACCGGTTCTGATCCAACGATGCACCGGAAGATCAGAACCAGCGATATTAGCACGACGCTCTAACCAACTGAGCTAGTCGGCCATGGTTACCTTGGCTAGTGTACTCTCTTCTGATCTCATCTGTTTCGCTTCTTACACCATTCGAGAAACAAAAGTACAAATGATATTGATTTGGGAGGATTGGTGTTGTTTGACACTTTAAGTAACGAACAAAGCACTACAGTATCAATCGAAAAATGTCCCGCCTTTGTGGCGTCTAGCACGAAGTCTAGTCTTGGACTCTGAGTCTTCATCTAGTAGCCGTGCAGGGAAGGGCCATTGCCTCACACTAGTCTGCTAGTCTGTACCTGCTGAAACGCCAAGATCGGTCGAATCATCGGCACATCTCAGCTCTTTTCCTCCTCCTTCAGACCCTTCTTCTTCTCATCGTCCTTCTTCTTCGCCAACTCATACGACTCGAACCCCAGCGACTTTTGTACCACATCCTCCGAAGCGTCCGGTTCGAGGTGGCCTTGGCTATTGCGACGGGCTCTGTATGAGTAGGCAAGACAACGTATCAGTTAGCCAATAGTAGAAAACTTAACCGATCTCGATATCGATATAGGCCCCGATACTCACCTAAAAAAGGTATAACTCAGTACAACATCCTCAACATTCCTACAACTAGGATCATCCAAAACGTCCTTGTCGATAAAGAACAGCAATGGCATATCGACGGTTTCGGATGGAAGGAGTTTTTGTTCGTCGAAGCAGAAGCATTCAATTTTGGAAAAGTAGGGAGCGAGCTGTGAATCGTAGAAGTTGGGAAGGGGATGTGAGGAGCAGCAGCAGAAGGGAAGTAACTCACCCGATCGGGAGTAACATTATACGTTGCCACACCTATGATGTCCTCCTTACTGTTGTTCTTTGCCGTGTAGAACGCAAGGGAACTTTCACCTAAACAACGTCGTTCAGAATTGGTGAACGCGTGGAGCGAAATAACTCACCAGGAAGCACATAAACATGATGCTGTGCAGGCTTGAACGCCCAAGGCAGCGACGTTGACGTGCTCGACGTGAAAGTTACTTTGAACCTCCGCGATTTGGGGTTGTCTGCGGGGTCGACTGCGATGAGGCGAGATGGAGCAAATCGGTCTTCTGCTCCAGAGGAAGGAGTGAGCAACGTTTGAAGCCAGTCTGGCATCCATTCTGGGAAATCGGGTCCAGGTGCGGCCTGAGTTCGGGTACTAGGTGTACCAGCGAAACCAGTAGCGGAACAGAAGAGCCGGTAAAGGGGAACAGCGGCGTATGTTAGGCCTAGAAAAGTTATTATCTGTTGGAGAGGGTTACTAGGGACAAAAACCGTTTGAAGAAAGAAATGAAGAACGTACCACAGCCCCGGTATACATGAGTACTGAAAGGTTCTTTTTTGAGCGTGCAGCGTACATTTCCTCTCTGGAGCGGTATTGAGGGCAGGGCCTTTGTATACGTGACGTGGCCGCTGGGCATTTGAAGATGAAGAAGATGGGGATTTATCTGGAGCACCAGAGTCGGTACCAGACGATATTGAGCGTCTCGAATATGACTTCCATAAAGTTATGGAGGATTGAGCTAGTAATGAGGATGATGGAGGAGCTTTGCAGTGAAAGCTGTGGATTAATGCTGTTCTATATCTGGAGTTATTGAGGGTACTAGCAGTAGATCTGTGTAGAGTAATTCGCGCATGTCGAAGTAGAGAGCGAAGAGCAAAGTCCATTTCGTACGAGAAAGATACACCGGGCCGTCTTACTTTTGTTGTAGCCTGAAAGATTCTTTTTGTTGTATGTTTGCGGCCTCTAATTCATGTTTATACGTTGAAAGTCGATTCTGCTCGAGTGAGCACCAAGAACGTCAAGAACGTCAGGAGCAAATAAAGGTATATCGGGCCGGATAACTCTGGTTCCTTCTTGACCATCATCAAGCATCCTCAATAACTATACCCAGCAATGTCAACCTCGGCTTCAGCATCGTCTTCAACACCGTCGAAAAACGCTACCGCCGGACCCTCGTCTTCCACCGACGCAGAACTGGAAAAACTGCTTTCAAGAGAAGCATCAGCATTCCAGAGAGAAGTTGAGGTGGAGAGAATATTAAAGGCATTCAAGCTGAAGTAAGCTGAACAAATCTTGTATATTGAACAGTAAAGCTCATTGGGTACACAGTCCATATGATATTCTAGATTTAAACGAGACGGCAACACAAGACGATATCAAGAAAAAGTACAGACAGATATCATTATGTGAGTCTTAGTCTCTTCTGTTACCATCGAATCTAATCCTTTTTCCGTTCGAAGTCATCCATCCTGACAAAACACCGCATGCCCGTGCTCCTGAAGCTTTCGACATTCTGAAAAAGGCCGAGTCTGAACTGTCCGACAAGGCCAAACGAGACGAATTAGATGCGCTTATAGCTCAGGCCAGGGTGGTCCTTTTGGGGGAATTAGGCTGGCCCTCAAGTTTACGGGATATTAAAGAACTCGAGGCAAGCGAAGAACTCCAATCAATAGGCGGAATACGAGTATGGAGAGATAGAGTAAGAGCAAAGACGAAGGAAATGTTGATTGATGAAGAGTTGAGGAGGAGAAAGGCTCTTCAACTCGCACTCGCAAACGAAGGTCTTGAAGCGCGGAAAAAGGACGAGGAGGTCGCGGGTAGAAAGAGGAAGGCGGAGGAAGACAAGGCTTGGGAAGCTAACAGAGAACAACGTGTCGACTCCTGGCGCTCGTTTGCCAACGGCAAAAAGAAGAAGAAGGGCAAGGGTCCTACCTTACTTGGGTGAGCCCCACCACCTTGTATTAGATAACTATTTACTGTAGAAACCATACTTCGGCTGATTCTGCCGGTGGAGAACTTGAAGTTCGCTGATGCCCTACGCCTTCCCGTGTGCCCAGCTTTAGCGTCCTATTCGCCTCCTCAAAGTTCGGAGCTGAAGCTGAAGCGCTGATGGTTAATGTATCAGAGGAATCACTTCAAGTGAACATGTACATCAACATCATCACCATTGCGCGGGGCCCAACAGCGGCTTTCTCGCCAGCATCACCACTACTGTCATCCTTCGTATCACCCGGTATACACTGACCATCCATACAGAATCGAATGTCCTCTTGGTGCTAACCTCGACATCTAAAGATCCAATTTACCAGCTCAATTAGGCGGTCAGATAAGTATTGTTATCGGCAAAAGGCGAAGGCGAAGTATCCGGATGAATGCAATACCAAAACAATACGTAGCCGCAGGACCCCAGTAGGTAGCCGCCTGCTCAAAGCAGTTGATTTACCGCATCCAACATGCACCACTCCCTAGAGCTGTCAAGATCAAGCTTGGACATTTGCAGAGAAAAGCTCTACACAATCACGTGCAAACACTGGCGGTTAGACCGCCTTTTCCAAGAATACCAAAGTTCGTGCGCGGTTTCAACGTCCTAAGGGCCGCAATTCACCACGGCGTCGTCCCATCCCCTCATCCCCGGCAGTCATCATCCTCCACAGTGATAGTAGATTGTTAGTATTATCGCGGAAATTCTAAGTCTACGACCAGGAGGTAAAGAATCGTCACGGTTCAAAATACCCACTTAGTGTGCCGCAGTTCTTCAAATTCGGAGATTACATCGATTATACGCGATGGGATATCTTTACCCAATGAATCAGAACCTCTCTGGCGCGGAAGAGCCTGGGGTGTGACGCGCCGATCGAGTGGGAACATGGCTACTCTCCGAATCTGGGACTACAGTATGGAACCGGCAATCATCGGCACTGCGTTCCATAGGAGAGAGTTTTTTTCCAGACTCGCTCTCCAGGTAAATTCTTCGACTAGAAGCCATATTGGAGGTGCCCTTGATGTCATTTGTGAGTAATAGTTTTAAAATGTTTTGGAGTCGCTGACTTTCGTGCCACCGAAGCTAAGTATCCGATTTTACTGGGGCTCCAAAAATTCTATATTGACATTATCTAACAACCATGCTCCAAAATTTCGGGAATGAGTCGGATAAACTGCCGTCGCCCTCAGAATGCCTCCACTAATGTAGAAGCTTTGGAACTTCGGACACACAACTTCTACTATTCAATCTCCTCTGTATGCATGTATGCTCTCATGCCCTAATAAGAATATTCCTGCTACCCTACTGAAAAACTCCAAGGGAGGTCACAAAAATAATTATCCGATTGCTTAGGCTGGACGGAGCATCTCCTCGACAAAACATCTGTCGGATTTTTGCAGCGGTCATTGAATCGTAACACTGGAAGTGGAGAGCGCAGAGCGTTGTTACAATGCGGTGTGTGGCGCCACTTCATTACTTACAGGTGGCGGCTTTCGCTCACCGCTAATAATCTATACTAGCTTAGAATCCTAGTGGCTGTTGTAATGAGATATCGTCGCCACTGCTTATCCCAATGCGATCCCGTGACCCAGCACATCCTGATGAAGGCCTTTAAATTTGGATTGCAACTCAGGCAAGATACTTGCCACCGAATTTTCACTTCCCAAGAACAAGGTAACAAAATAACGAGCAAAAATTCGTAGACTCTGGGTTACCGAAGAGAGGAAGCAAAGAAAGACGAAAGTCTATTATTACACTACATGCTCCAAGAGCTGAATGCTGGAGCACCGAAGAGCTTATCCCGATGTGGAGTGCGCATTGGCTTTATGCGGATAGTAGATTATTCTCGAGGCTTAGTATACTCAAACGGTTTGTACTATGAATAGAACCTAGAAAGAAGGGTATATCTATGATAAAATGCCCAGAACCAAGGATATATCGGTGATCAACTCGAATAAACCAACCCACCTCAATAAATCAACTCCACCTCGAAAATTTTACTGCAGCACTATAGGCTGTGAAATACTACCTAGTCCTTCAAGTCCACCTGTTAAGTTATTCTACTAAAAGGTTCGAGAATTAGAGCCTTAGAAGAATGTATTTCAAAGCTGAAGCCGGTAGAGCGCTTAGAGGTGAATGCTCGATGTTTGAGACTCTTGAATGCATAGCATGGGTGTATGGTGTATATAATGATACAGTCGACATCAACAAAGTCTAGACCTATCGCCAAAGAACGCGAAGAGTATTGATC